GCAGGGTCATTGAGGCACGCAAGCCATCACGCCGCGTCAAGGTGCAGTCTCGTCGTGATGTTTTTCATGGGGTGCATTATCGTCAGATGGTCAAAAACAAAGTAAGATATCCGATCAGGAAAGGAAACCGGATAAAGTGGTTACCTAAAGTATGAATCGCAGGCCACCGAGACGATGTGAAAACGCAGCCTGTGGGATGCTGGTGTTCAGTCCATCTGGACAGATGTCTATCAAACGAGGTTTACACGTCAAGCATGGGACGATGGAAAGCTCATACAGAAAATCCTCCAGCCGGTTCATGTTGCCGACTGTGTCGAGGGGGGGTGGGTGGGTGGTGATAAGTGGGCTAATGCTCAGACATTTCAACATTTGATAAATTTTTTTGTCTCCTATACTCAACCATCTTCCTTTGTCCCTTCTTCCGAACCGTACCAGTAGCACAAACAAATAGATTTTCGCTACATAAAGGTCGCTGCCAAATACCAATATAAGCAATTCGCCACGAAATAGATTGAAGATTCTGAAACCTTTTCAACGATCTCTGCGAAGGACACACCGACCGCGTTTGGTTGAGCCGAAGCTCCAATCTAGTTGTAGTTGGAGGTAATTTTAGGCGCAGGGTGGAAAACTGAGCGCTTGATAAAATTGCCGAGGCGGTTGTTGCACTCTGCACCGCCAGCGAACAGTTAATGGAGATCGACTTATGGAGTTCAGCGCGCACTCCCGGGTGTCCCTGTCCTAGATAAACTACCGACACAGAGCACAACGGACGGCAGCGTGGCGCTCCAGTTCAAGTGGTACGCTAACTCAAATCAACCACGTAGCAGTACAAAACTGAAGGTTTTATTTCATCGCCTACACTGGGTTTGATCAAGTATAAATGCTCATGCACATCTCGCTCCGAATTACTCGTTGCCGACAAAATCAATGAGCTCGGTTAGTTCGTTATTAGATGTCAGTCCCAGCAGTTCGTGCACATCATGAGTCATACCTAGTACGTGAGCTAATTGTTTCCCAGCCTTGTGGTGACCATAGCGATCAGATAAGATGAACAATGCATTGCGTAGTGAGAGTTGCTTGTGGATGTGAGCTTCAAACCAGTCTGAGGCTTTGGATATCTCACGAGTCAGCAGTCCTTATGGAGGAAAAATGACAAATCCCAACCAACTAGGAACAAAATGGGGTTAGGTGGTGTCTGCGACGTCAGTGCACGAACAGCTTCAAGAAGGACCGTGAAACCTGGTGGACAACAACAGCTAGTGGAAAGGAAGCGGGGGCCGCTGCAGCGAATAATCAAAGACTGTTCAAACTGATACACTACACGGGAGGTCAGCAAACCCAAGTTAGTGAAACAGTTTGCGATAAAAGAGGACAAGCCATTCACAATAAGGAACGACTTGATCGCCGGGCGGTGTCATCAAACAAACAGTTCAGCTGACCTGTCGCCAGTCAGGTTACCTCATCTACAACTGCAGCTCCTTGGGAAGTGTCTTGCGATGCTCCGGCGGGAGCAGAAGTTCAATCTTGCATTCAACCTTTGAAGTGACGAAAAGCGACTGGTACAAAAGTTATTCCATCGACTCCTTTCAAGAGACGTTGACAATCTCGTAAACTCCATTCATGATTGCCTAGGCAACAAATGGTTGCAAGAGCGTATTCCAGCCTCTTGGGGCGAATCACTGATTGTTTCTATCTTCAAGTGTTAACCTGTGTTATACTTTGACAACTGACTCTGTTTAGATTGACCAATATCCGTGTACAGAAAGCCGGACTCCGATCTGGTAGCGGATGTAATGATCATTGACCATTGACGATGGCACAGTAAAGGTGATAACTGAACGTATTTCCGAGGCTCGAGCAGCGTACGCAAGACTGAAACACCTTTGGCGTAGACGCGATGTTTCACTGTAGCTGAAAGGTTGTGTATATTTTGATGCCGTTCATTTAGTTCTGCTTTATGGTTGTGAAACCTTGAATTTGCCAGTAGAAGGTATCCATCGACTGGAAGTTTTCCATCGTCGGTGGTTAAGTAGTTTAGCATCCGTGGGATGGAGCCAACGGGTTAGTAATCTAGAGGTACGCTGTCTTGTGTTTTAAAGGTTATCGGGGACATGTTTTGTAGCGCATCTAATTCAAATTATTGTGGGAATTTCTTATTACGTCAGAATGCGTGAAAAGTCATGTGTGCATGGTTAGATTTTGTCCTGTGTGTTGACTAAAAGGGTTTGCTTTATTCCTGAGTAAAATTAGGTCCAATACCTACCCACCTTATGTTCTCACTAATTGCGTATGTATTGCGAGTTTGGCAGCGATCAACGAGGTTCACTACGCTGTATGATGACGATGTGCACCTTCTTTTGGGAAGTTCAGATCTAGTTTTATAGCTTTCCTAAATGAACTCCATACTCGCTGTTCATTAATCTAATTTCTCAAATTAGTAAAAACCCAATCGCGTGGAGAAGGACTTTACCAAAACAGACTTTAAGAGTAACACTTCATGAGTGTTTCTGAAGGTGAGAAGAAAGTGTTATCCGCCTTTAGGGAAAACTGGGTCTTTAAGACAATGCCAATTCGGATGATTTATACATTATAATGACGAACAAAATGATCACGTGGATCTAACCGATTTGCCAAAACGTTGCTTGATACATATCAACTAAGGACGGCGGGAAAGTGTCCCGTGTTTAATATGAACCAATAAATTCGAAACGGTTGTATTTCAAACACTTCAGTATACCATAAAAACAGACAGATAATAGGTTGTAAACATAAGGGAAGAAGATTGCAACTCAAGAAACAAAGAATTTGATTCATCAGACATTCCATTACCTCAATTGTAACAGTGTGGAGAACGTTCGCCGAAGCGGAATGTAGTAGTCCGATGAGCGCATTAACGAAATCCGGACTCATGGCGATCGACCGGAAGAGCGGCTTGGTCTGATATAGGAACATACAGAAGCGAAGCAACACATCCGGATATTCGGCACTCCAATCGGGATTAGCACGTCGAGTGAGCGTTTCGGATTTTCCAGTTTCCTGATAAAGAATGGCACAGAACAGCAAGGTACAATCACAATACTGGATGATAGAAAACGTGGAGAGAACTGCTGAATATTACAATTCATATGAATTAGAACACAAATCCTATGAATGCTTACAATATCTCAAGAATAAGACAGAAGGTAGTAGGTTGTCTATCACTACACTTGACCCGATTCAGTATATTCGAGGACAAATTTCATGTATGGCTTGAGGTTAATCTTCAGACAGATTCAAACCATATGAGGAAGAACCACTTGTCACGGGCAATCCACGTTGAAAGTATGAATGAAGCACAAAAATTAGTGTCAAACAAAAAGTTCATATTTTATAAGGTGCATTTGCAAAGAAACAATTTCGGTTCGTGTTTCCATTTTATAAAGTTTGATATACACTAAAGAAAAACACAGAGCACACAGGAATATGTATCAATTACCGAGGTGATCAAGGATCGTATGAGACAAAGCAACAAAGTGGCCGCTTCCGGACACAATGTAGACTTAGTCCAACCGGAATGGACAAGAGTACTGGTATCAGAGGCGGTCGATGATGCAGATCCGTCAACCGCGGACTCCGATGCGGATTCAGTGCGTGTGCGACGACGACCAAAAGCGCCAACAGATAGGCCGGCACTGTTCAGGAAGCTGCTCACTAATCCACTCACCCCTGTCGTAGACGGTGTGGGTGAAGAACACATTGGTGCAGTCGCGTTCTGGTTACCGTCGTTCACTGAGTTGCTACAGTCAATGGATGAGT